AAGGAGCACCTGCTCCCTGTTGGTATGTACACTATCTAGTTGAAGCATGATTCTAATCCCTTGTCCTGGCCAAAATGAAGATGGTGTCTTGTTTCATACKTTAATTTCTATGATATCAATCCTCTTCTTTCTGTGTCTTTTTATCACGTTAATACTTTTATTAAAGTAAATTCTACAAGTTATTAAGTAGCATCTAAGACATTTTCCATAATTTGTATGTATTTCCTATATACATAAAAATTACTATGATGGTTCTTTTTAGACAAACATTTTATTTTGTAAACAATGTAATTACAGTTTATTTTAAAATGATTTATTTTCTTTATAACACCAAGTCTTTACAATCCTTTTTTTTTTTGTGCAACTCTCTCCTCTGGGAAAGTAGAACAGTATTTAGGGAAGTCCACTGATAAAATTCTTTATTTTTTTCTCACTATGGCTGCCACCACCACAATGCCTATCAGGTTTTGTTGAGGAATACAATAATAGCATTCTCTTCAGACTTACTCATTCTGTTTTCATTCACACATTATCTCAATGATTTGTAAAAATTCCCCCATCTTTTTTATGTACAATAAAATTTTTTACAGAGATACTGAATTATTAGCTTGCAGTTATCTATGAACATACCCAAAAAACCTTTACAGAAATTGCCTCACTTTTTGTTCTCACCCTTGATCCCATACATGATGCTCTACACAAGTACTTCTATGCACTGCCACTCTTTAGTGCACTCACTGATCTTGCTGCACGTGATGGCATCTTGATGAAAAGTTTTTATTAGCAAGAGCAAAGAAGTATGAAAGAGCACAAGACAAATTTCTGTGTCTAGGCACAAAAAGAAGCACATCCACTACTGGAGTGTAGGAGAGAACAGCCTAACGGGGACAACTACTGAGCTCATCTACTGGTGTACAGCACTGCARCCAGCACTAGCACTGCTCATCGTGGGCATCCCAAGCACTCAGTGTTGCATATCACTATCTTTCAGCTTGCAGGTGATCAATAACTTTGATGTTAATGATGCCACTATGGCTGGCTCATATCACAGCCATCTACATTCTCTCAAGCACTAAGTCTCTGCAGAAAAAAGTTTTTGCCAAGGAACATCTAACCAATATATCCCCAAAGGTAGTGCTGTCAACAGACATTGTGAGTACTCAAAAATCTGACCTCCAATTTATCCATGAGCAACCTCTTACAGAAAGAGCTGTGTAAATACAGTCATGAAAAATGTTAACMTTAGGTTCCTCAAGAATAGTAACAAGGGATGAAATTTCCTCACAAGAGTCAACATATCAATTGAATACCATTCTTAAGACCTATATTTACAGGAATTTTGTTAGCACAAGGCATAGGCAAAGGTCATTATTTGAATGTTTAAAAAAAGTACTAGCTTTGCTATTAAAGTGTCTTTTTACATTTTTGTGCATACTTGATATCTGCAGTGTCCCACCCAATGGTAAAAAGAAAATAAATTAATCCTCTGATTTTTTTTTGTAGATAATTTCTTTAAAATAAGAGATAGAATGATTTGAATTTATAAACTCTGAATTTTAGGGAACAAAAAAAATATTGAAATCCTAGTAGTATCATGGCATTGAAAAAAACACATTCAGATACCATAGTGGTAACATAGGAAAAACCTCCACTTTGCTTGCTCCATACATAAAAACATTACTTCCATTCCAGCAAAAACTGAAGTTCTTCCTTCATACTATGAATTACAGTAATCATTTTACGCACAGGGACATTTTTTACTGAAACCTTGAAAACCTTGCCCATTGCCCAMCTGAAAATAGGTTATCAACCACACTTACCAAACGGGAAATGGATCTGAGAGAGTGATAGGAATTTCTTCAATATTACCATTTACTGAAAAAAATACAGAAATATTTTAGCAAAAGACTCAAAGATTGGATTTTTCTGTTAGTGGAAACAATATAATTTTGGGGGAGGTTATGGATGTTTGGTAATCTTTGTTGAACTATATAAACTCAGCTGTTTAGAATGGAAAAATTTTTTTGATCATGCTGAAGTTACACTTATGGATTATATAGTAAGTTAAATTTATGTTACCATTTGAGTCAAAACAAAAAGAATTGTGGTAGCATAGAGCTATAGCATTTCTTTTTTTTTTTTACTTAAACAGCAGCCTTAATTCTTAACAAGTTACAGGTCCCTGATGTTTAGTATATCAATATTTTATTGATAAAGGTGTGCTGTACAAAACATAAAAACTTTATACACTCCAAGGGCAAATTACTTCCCTTCCCTTATGGGAATAGTTTTATTTTTAATGTAGTTCTTAAGGGGTTTTAATTCTTCATGGGTTCTTAGGCAATTTTGAATTACAACATACATATTTAATAGTAATGACATCCAGGGAAATACTTTTTGTGCTGGAGATAATACATACACATTAATAGTAAAATACACAAAGAAAAAACCYCAAACCTCCAACAACTAAGAGGACATACACAATCTGCTTACTGACCTGTAACTAATTATAGTTATATAGTATCTGGTGGTTTTCTCATCAGACTGCAAGTCACTTGTATTGCCATGAACTATCCACTTGGTTTATGAGCTGTACAGCCACTGCACAGCCACCTTCCTGCTGCCCTGCCCTCACATCAGAGACACAGCACAACCGCCTGCCCCTCCAGAATGAGCCTCCCAAACAACACCATTTCTCCACCAGCAAGCCCTTTCTCTGGTACTGCAAGCCCACCTAAAAATTCCTCCCATGACCAACCATCCAAGCACTTTGTGAATATTCACTTCATTTTGTGTCCACATGCACTGTTCTCATGGTAACTTAATATATGGCACAGTATTTGCCCCTGCAAGCAACATTTCASTCCATGAGTCAACACAGCCCCTGCAGGTACCTACCTGCAAGGTTTACAAGCTCTCCAGAACTCCTCAGCTCCATTATCACTTGTTTCATGGATGCTGCCACATACCAGTGCCTTCCACAGTACCCTGACAACAAACTGAGAAGTGCAGCGTGTGTCCACTGCTCTGAGGCAACGCTTCCAGTTCTGTYCTCCCAAATGGCAAAGCTGCAAGCCTATCTGAACCCCTGATGCCCCAACCACCACACCCAGAGCTTGTGAGCACTCTCATGGGCCTGTCACAGTAAATTGAAGGCCAGCAAACTTGTCAGCCACTTTGTAACAAAGCTAATCCCCCACACACACCACCAAGTACTTTTCCTGAGAGAAAAAGTCTATCTGAACGCACCTCAAATGCCCGGGGTCACCGCTCACAAGCACTACCACACACTTGTACCATATAAACCGTCCCTCATACAAATTAAAGCTTACTGGAGCAAAAACCAGCCTCTCACAGTCCCTTCATCAATAAATCTCTCAAGTCTGTGAGCCCACACAAAGTCCTTCTGCTCACCTGACCTCACGCTTGGTTCACGAACGCTTGTTGACACCAAGAGCTCCGTCACCTCCACTGGCCTCACTGCACCTGGAAGTTTGCCACTCCAGGGCTGGGCTCCCCCTGCCCAATCAGGCTCRTCTCACATGGCTACAAACACAAGAGTCTACATTTCAACCTCCTCTTATTTGACTCATGAGTTTGTTCTCACGGCAAATGGAAACATAGAAAATGCATCTATTGTTTCAGGACATGATTGTGGCCACTCCTGCACACTGACAGATCTCTGAACCCCTTGTACCAAGGCTGAGGAACCAGCAAGGCTCACAAACATTTTCACCCCTTAGGTGTCTGCACTCAGCAAACAGCCAGCACAGCAGCCTGAACTCCAGACAAAGCCCTAGGCTACCCCCGGACACTCCTGCAGGCAGACCCCTTTGCACCCAATCTTATGGCCTTAAGCTGAGACAAGGACATTTAGATATTAGAAAAATTTGCACTGTCAGGGTGGTCAGGTAGTGGAATAGGTTGCCCAGGGAGGTAGGTGATGGAGTCACCCTCCCTGGAGGTGTGCAAGAGGTGTCTGGATCTGGCACTGTGTGATGTTGTTTAGTGGTTACAGTGGCAGTGCCAGGTGGACTGTCAGACTGGACGATCTTAAATGACTCTTCCAACCTTGATGATTCCATGCTTGTATGCATGCAGCACCTAGAGCAGAGACAAAGACACACAGCAGCACCGTGCAGATGAGGCTCTCCCACTCCCSGTCTCACCAAATCCGCGCTCTCAGGAGCAGGAGCTTCCCCGGGCACTGCTAACCCCATACCCTCCCGGSCCACGGCTGCCCTCACACCGGGCACGGCGTCCCGAGGCGAGGCTTCCCAGATCGCCATCCTGCTCGCCATCCTGCTCGAGGTTCTGCCCCAGCGCGTTCAGTCAGCCCGGCCAGAGGCACCACAGTGCGGGGCTCCGCACACTGTCCCGCACATCCCTGCGGGAATGGCCCGCCCCGCTCCGCCGGCACTGCCCGCACACCTGCCCCGCTCCGGCCGGCTGCAGGAACGCAACGAGATGGATTCGGTACTTTTACAGCAAGAAGCAACAACAAAAGGATTGAAAGTGCCTGATATTTCTTAGGGCACCTTTTATCTTTCCTCAAACTTCCTTTCCCCCCTCCCGATGCGACTTAGGCAAGAGTCCCCGCGGACCGAGCGCTGCCCTGCCCCTGCCTCACGGCCCGGGGAGGAAAGGACAGACAAACCCTTCTGGGGAGCAAGAGGTGAGGACAGCTCTTCATCACCCYAAATCCCCCTCCCTTCCCGCCACGACTGCGCTCTGCCACGGACCGGGGGATTCCCGGCTGTCGTCACTGCTGCTCCCCAGAGAGCTGCCTCTGTCCCGTCCGCAGCGAAGGCGGGGGCGGTCCCTGCAGAGCGAGGCCCGGCCGCCCGCCCCGGCTCTGGCTCCGCCTCCGGCTCCGCCTCCGGCTCTGGCTCTGCCTCGGGGCGTGGGCGGGGCGGAGCGGAGGCGGGCCGGTGACGTCACCCGGCGTGGGGCGGTTGCCATGGTGACGCGGTCCCACCCCGCTTAAAGCRCCGCCTCGGAGGAGCGGCCGCCGTCCCTGTGACGGAAGCCAAGATGGCGGCGGCRGCGTCTGACCTGCTGACGGGATGGTGCCTCTTCGGCCTGGCGCTGCTGGTGAGAGGCGGCTCTCCCGCCCTGCGGCGGCCCCCTCGCACCTTCCTTCCCCTCCCTTCCCCTTTCCTGGGCCGGCTGCTCCTCCTTCCTCGGCCGCCCGCTGTTCCAGTGCCGGGCGTCCCTCCTGGTCTCTTCACCCGTGCCTCTGAGCCTGCCCCGGCCGGGAGCGCGTCCCTGCGGCTCCCGCGGGTGCCTCGGCGGTGAAACCGCAGAGCAGAGCCCGGAGCTGGGAACGYGGGGCTGCCTTGCCCTCCTGCCCGGCGAGCCGCGCTGCTTGTTTGTGTTTTCGTATCTTCCGTGTGTGAGCGCAGGTGGTGTTAGTCAAGCTGTTATTAAGGAAAACAGTGACTTGYGTGTGGTCACTCTAACTCAGGTGTTGAGTGTTTACGTACAAAGTGTGTTCATGCTGTGCTAGTTATCCATWAAGTGTCTAACATTAGTATCTAATCGCTGACATTGTTGTTACACAACTCATAAGTATCTTTCCCTRTGTATTTCAGGCCATTCTAATTTTCTCCTGGGTTTATGTGCGCAAGTACCAGAGTCGGCGGGAAAGTGAAGTAATTTCTACCATAACAGCAATTTTTGCGTTGGCCGTTGCTCTTATCACGTCAGCGCTTCTTCCAGTGGACATATTTTTGGTTTCGTATATGAAAAACCAAAATGGTACATTTAAGGTATGAATTTCCAGAAATGTAAAATTGCCTCCTCARAATAAGCATGTGTGTTGCAAAGGGATGCTCTTCGTTTTTCAAAGTGTTTGACTCCAGTGCTAATACCTCTTTTAGTAACTTGAGTTTTCTTAGAGCTGGGCACTAGTACTGTGCATAAAACAYTCATTTGAACTGGATTTCAGTTTTCACTACCATTATTTCTTAGATACTAAACTCATTTTAAAATGCTTGTTTCTCCTGTTGCACATACGAGTGAGTGCACTGTTGTGAAGATTTAAACAAATTGCTTAAATGTTGTTTTTCAGTATATTGTAATGGGGCATTGTAGAATAAAATTCATTGGACTTGTGTTCAAAAATAGGCTGTGTTGCCYGTTGGTAATTTAGGGTTATTTTTATTGTCTTTTTTGTCAGCAAAACATTTGGTACTGAAGCACTTAAACTTTTAAAGATTTACAGTGCTAATCTACCTATAATGTGATGCCTGAGTTATTAAGCATACTTTTGAAATAGGGAAAGCTGCAAAAAACGTTGAGGGAGGGGAATGCAGCAGTATCTCTTCCTGGCTGATAAAGCCTAAACTGAACTACTGTATTTATAAACTGTAGGGGGTTGCTGTGCAAAATGAGTATTTAGAACAAGGACAGCAAGTACTCTTCTCATTAAGTGTTACTGTAAGAGATCTTCCCAGTGCTTCAGCTATTATTTTGATTTTCAAGAGGAGTTCTTGAAGGTGTTGACCCAGTGTTTTGTGAGGACACTGTGAGTAACAAGAGGTCACATTAGCATTGCTAATTTGAATAACTGCTTACTTTGGTTTGGAGCCTGGATATATAGTARGAGTTATGATTCTGAAACAAAGGATTGAGTGGGAGAAAGGTAAATGCCTACACACTAGACTCAGAGGCTGTATTCCCTTCCAGCCCTACTTCCAAAGGAAGACATAGGTCTTGCCAGATCTGTGTACTGCTTCAAAACTAGCTTACAGCTAATATAGTGTTTTTTGGCTGGTGCTTATATAAATGCAAGTCATGAGAAGCTTTTAGAATTGAGCTGTGGTGTGATTGTCATCTCTATTGCTCGGGGTAATACAGGACAAATTAAGCTATTATTCAGTGTTATTCTGAAAAGTTTGTAGTTTCAGACTTTGCTTGGTTGGAATTAAAGTGGATACWGAAGATAGAAAAGACCTTTCATACGTGAGGGTTCTAGCAATTCAATGAAAAGAACATTATTAAGAAACACATCAAGCCTGACTATCTAGAGGAATAACTAATGCAGCTTGGTCCAGCTGAAGAATGCACATCTAGTGGAGTCTAAGCAGAATTTCCTGTTGCAAAGGACACATTTTTTGCTAAATGTGTGTATGCTTTCCCTGATTTGAAACAAACCTGTGAGAACAGAACATCAGAGGTGGTCATGCAGTCACTACAATTTCTTAATAAGGAAAATATGGTTATTAGAAGGAAAATTGCTTAAAATACTGTTTTTCGTGGGCTAGAATTCCTTGTTAATGTCCACATGCTGTGATATGATAAGGTGGGTAGATTCTATTTTAAAATTGTGCTGAGAGGAGGCTTTCATGCTTGTGGTGAAGACTTTTTCTGTGAAGAATCTTTTTGCATATGCTTCTGAGGTGTCTTTGTCCTGCATAAGTCTAACGTTTGTAGATACTTCTCATGGCTTGTTGAAATAAAATTGCTCCATACTGTCTTGCYTTTGCCTCTGTCTTYTACATCTCAGCTGAATTGAATTTCTAGCTTTGCAGCAATAACATGAGATCCATTGATATTAATGCATTTGATCTAAGCACAGGTGTTGAAATTATGGTGTAAAAGTATTAACGTAGCCTTCAAAGTTGAGTGAATCTGAAATCACTCAGAACCTTTAGGTAAATGCAGCTTTATTGATTTGGTAATTTCAGTTTAGAAATAAAGTTGAAGTAGGAGGCTGACAACATCTTAAAATGAGGCACGTGGTCCTGCACTGGGCTGGGAGTGGGACTCAGTGATGTTGGTGGGTCCTTTCTGACCTGGTATTTTCTGTGATGCTGTGGTCTTCATGAATTGTTAAAGCTTTTAAACTATCATGGATAACATGTGCGTCTTTCCTGCTACTGCTTCAAAAGTAGGATAGACTGAATTGTGTTTAGAATATTTCCTGGAGACTACTGGCCTTTCTCTGGACCATTCTTTCAAACTCAGCACTTCCAAGACACTGTGACTGATGCGGGGGTCTCAAGGACTGTGACTCTGGTGAGAACCCTTCATTGCTTTGGRTAGGCAGAATGATTTAAGTCTTTAATCTTCTCAGTGACTCCTTGAGGCAGATCTGGATAATATTCTCTGTAGATAAATTAGTAGTTCATCAAACAACCTTCYAACTGGATGATTTCAGAGCTGATGCCAAAAAAGTAGTAGCAGTTATCCTGATTCCAGGTAAAAAAAAATTTCTTCTATATGTACTCTTCCTTTACGTCCCAGCTGTAATTTCTGGTATCAGTGTTGAGTGACGAGAAACAAGGGTGCTCAACTTGAAAGGGGTACTGTGTGGACTTTCAGTTCATTTTTAATGTATCTGACTCTACTGTCAATTTATAGATATGCCTGAGGTTTTTCTGTGAATAAGCTTGTAGCARACTTAGGGAGAACCACATTATCCTAACAGCAGAGGTTAAAAGTTCTCATGGAGAATTGTATGTGTGTTTGCTGACAAGTGAAGATGGTATGTGTCTTGGCCAGAAGGATTGACTGAACTGTAACACCAAAGCAGAGTATCTTTTTCTGAAGGCTGTGAAAATTATGCTGCTTTCTGGAGGAAGTGTTGTGTAACCCTTTTCCATCGTGTGTTCTGAAGTGCCTGCCTYGACAAGGGCTGTATGCTATGCCTTGGTCAGCCTTGGTTAACTTGAGGCTTTGTCCATTTCAGTGGGACTGTTAAGGTACTGTTTATACAACTTTCAATTACTGCAAGTTATTCTTTATCGTAAACAAGTGGCTTGTAGCATTTGGTACATAGTGGTGTCTCTCAGCATATTTGGAGACTTACAAAATATTCCTGTTTTTTTACTGAGTGAATTGAACAGGTTTGGTATTGGTGAGTTTTGCACAGTAGTTACATAGTAGAATTCACTGCAACACATTTTCTAGATGCTGGGCTTACTTTGATTCATAGTCATGTTAAGTAGGAAGGGAGCATTTAGGTTTTAGCACTAATAAAAACTTGGGTATTATCTTGTAAGTGAAGTCCTGATAATATGCACCAGCACCACTTCTAGTTTAAAGGTTTTGGTTGTTAGCATTGTCAGTGTTCTAGTTTGTTTCAAAGGACTTCAAATAYATCCAGATGCATCTGATATGTTAGATCTGAAAGCTTGTTGGACTTATAACAAGCTCATAGGGACAGAAAACCTCACCATAGCCTAAAAGCATAATATTGCTGCTGGAACCCCAGTCCTCTGGGTCTGACCTACAAGTCTCCTAAATATTTGCAGCAAAGATGTTGCTGTCTTGTGGCAGGGAGACTGCTTGAAACAAGATGCTCACATAATCTTATTTTTTTTTTTTTTTACTACTCTTATAGCAGAAGGCAGAGAAGGTGATGAAACCTTTTCTGTTTGAGATGTATGGATTCTTGCTAYTATATGAAGTTAAAAGCCAGTGGCATTTCTTTCAATCTGGCTAAGACTGAATGTGTCACAAGCCTTGCGTATCTGCATGAGCTGTTAAAAGACAGTTTTCTTTTTAATGATTCAAGGAATAGCATCTGCCTAATGGGAGATTGGTCTGCAAAAAAACATTCTATTATGTCTTTTTGCATTTTATGAGGGTGAGGGGGGAACAAGTCATTATGTACATGGTGAGAATACAAAACCACTAGGCATGTCCAGGTTTTTTTACTTTTAGAAAGGTATTACCTGAGAAGTCATTATTCACTGAGACCCTCCTTTCTTCCTAAGAATTTCTATTTATGAAGTAATAATACTTGGCCAAAATATTGATGCTAGGCAGCTTCCGTTTGGCAGTCAAAATCCCGTGTCCCATTTTGGAGGTAACAGGCTGGAAGATCTGAGATCTGGATACAAAATTTCTTTATATCTAACCATGCTATGACTTGTTCTCCAGTCTTTCATACTGTATCTWCCTTTTGTTGGCCAAGCTTTGGATGACACTAATCAGAAGAATGAGGGATTCATCTACATTTGATGAAGCATCAGCTACTGAAACCTGTAATGTTGTATAACTTTAAGCTCGATTAAGATACATTTCCAGAGAAAGGGAGCTAGMTTTGTTGGGTACTCATGAAATTCTTACAGGGTCCAAAAGTGACAGTAGAAATGTCACATTTAATGGGGACAAAAGAATGAACTTCATGGCAGTTTCCTCACAAAAAAGTGTGGAAAGTGAGATTAACMTGCAGTGGTTTCATTTGAGGAAGTTATCTGTACAGTTTAAATAGWAGTTCTGTTGAAATATGTTAACATGAGTCACTAACTGGACAAATATGTTGGGAGAAGAAAGTCTCTGCTCTGTGATTACTTGGGGAGCAGGTGTTCATAACTAATTTTCTATCAATATAATTATATAAGTCATCTTCTAAGGGAGCTTTGGTTTTAGCATATAGGTAAACTCAAAATGTCTTAAACTGCTGTTTTTTATCTTTACCTATGTAGCAACATTTTATTGACATATATACTTTTTACACTTGTTTTGGGCATGACTTATGTTAAAAAGAACTTAAGCATAATAGTTTAATATAGGTCATCACACTCATTGCACACATCCTTGCAATTTGTGGCTTTCCTCTCAATGCAATGCATTTGTTACAGGTAGTTTAAAGGTAATACATGTTTGCCAAACTGCAGGAAACAGAATGAAGTATAGCAGAACAGTGAAGAGTGTGTGAATTCTGCAGCACCTAAGAGAATTTGTGGCCACATTTTGACACCTTAAACTGTTTGTTGAAGGCAGTATGAATTTTCACCTTTCTAGTATATTGTGCTTCTATRCTATTTGCTATATATACTGTAAACTTGGGTTGTAATGGAAAGAAAAGAAAAAGCCTAGATCTAGAGTCTGTCCAAATGAGTTCTCAATTGACTCCTCAATGTGCTAGTTGAGTAAAAATCATATATGTAGCAGYTTGATAGCTCACCAGAGATGCTGAGACTGTCAGAACTCAGACACTCACTAGGTTGCAGTGATCCTTGCTTTTGAAACAGCTGATATGAACTGGTTACTGCCTTTAATTTGTTGATGATGAGTGAATATGAATAATTTGCCAGTTAGAATAAAGTATTTTGCTTTTTCGTGTGTAAATGCGGGACTTGGGCTGCTGAATGAAAGCTGACATAATTATGATATACCAGTAAATTGGCTTGCATTACAAACTCTTCTTGTGCAGAGTAATGCAGAGTTTGTATCCTGGGGCAGATGTAAGTAATGGTGAAATGCACACATATTTGCATTTTGACTTTGCTTAGAGTAGTATAGCAGCTCAGTATTTTAACAYGGTGTAGTGTGTGTTTCCTAGTATACTACTTTGGTCCTGCATGCAACTTAATTTGAAAACAAAATGAAAAGCAGTTGCAGTGTTTGAAGTTCTACACTTGTATTGTGTTATAAGTGCTTTTGTGTAGCTGAAGGAGAAGCAGTTTTTGGGCAGTTAAGCCCTGTTGTATTTCCATTACTAGCTACCTCTTCCTGTACAGTGGCTGTGGCTCTTAAGCCTTGGGTCTTACTGTTGCTTTTCTTGCATATTCTTGGTTGTTGTGCATTTTCAATGTCTCCATTGCTCATAGGAGACATTTTTTCCCAATAGTTACTTAGAAGCAAATAATGCAAATAGTCCAGTTCAGTCTTGGTTTTCCCTTAGGCAAAATTAAAACAAGCATTTTCTTAATTTTTAACAAGAGGAAATTTTAATGTTCTGTATGCATTTGTTACTTAATGCAATCAAATTCTTTCATGGTTGGGTGTGAACCTGATATTCTTCAAAGGGCTTATTGTGTACATGACAAATACTTCAGGTGTTGCTTCTGCCCCTTCTGCTACAATATTTTTCATATTTTTTATGGGTTTGATGTTGAAATGGATGTATAYTTTTCTACTCAAATTCCACCTGATGATAATCTAATTTGGTTCATACAGTGGCTTTTAAAAGCTTAATGTAAAGTGATCTATTGGAAGCCTTAATATCGTAACAAAAAAGGATGGTGTTGATTTTGTGGGATCGTAGAAAAAGTGTTCATGCCATGTCATCAAGCCCATATTCCAGAAGACTTTATGTAGTTCTGAGAGAACTGATAAAGCAAGTTCTAAAGTGTCTTTATGTGTTATGGTAGATTTAGATAAAGAGTGTAGATTTAGATGAAAAGAAGAAATTGATGATGTTGGGGTTAATGGKTCTCTGGAACAGGTTCTCAGAGGAGTTGTGGATGCCCATCCCTGGAAGCATTCTGAGATCAGTTGAATGGGGCTTGGAGGAACCTGACCTAGTGAAAATGTTCCTGCCTGTGGCAGGAGGGATGGACTGGGTGATCTTTGAAGGTCCCTTTCGACCCAAACATTCTGTGATCATCTTTAGAGACTCTTACAGAAATACTGTGAGAATCAGCAAAAACATATGTGGGAGCTGCCAAAACTACTTAATGTTCTTTTGGATGTAAATTCTTCTGTTTATGAAACTGTCCTATGCTTATTTCTATTTGCCCAGTGATTTTCACTGTTGCTAGCACTCTAGCACGTAATTCTTTCGAAGTAGCATTTTTATCTGTCTCAATCTATTTGTGTTCTTTAATGACAGATTTTCATGTAGTCTTTTATTTCACTYGATTACAAATGCTTCTATTCTCTATTGCTAGGTCTGGGCTGATGCTAATGTTTCAAGGCAAATTGAAGACACTGTACTTTATGGATATTACAGTAAGTATTTTTTATAAGTAATGGAACCTTTAAGTGAAGTCATGAAGTTTTTAGAGGTCATACTAGATTATCCCATTCTGGTTAAACATGAGTCTTATATTTGGTACCCTTCAGAGAATACTTTTTTAACTTCAAGAGCCCCCTAATAATTCAAAAATACTAAAGCCAGTTCATGAAAAGGCTGATGGTTTCTGTTACATTATCTATGGTTAACATGCTTCCTGTGTATTTTGTGGTCCCTTAAGGGAAACACAGTTTTGCTGTAAGTTTTGTGGCACTTAACATATGCCAGAGTGTGAAAYGTGCCTACTATGTATAAAGTTCATGCACCCATGAGTGTAGTGCTTTTAAGTGCTCAGATTCAGCAACTACCGTGTTCCAAGTAGCAGTTACTGTGAAGGAGCATAAAGTTGATTCAAGAGCGGTAATCCTAAATAGAACTGAAATTAATAAAAAAGTTACTGAAATAAAATAATTCTGATTCACCAAACCTCTGCATAGTCTTACATCAGCTTTTTAGATGTCCTTATAAACATGAGAAGTTTTATTGCTAATGGGTATATTTAGGGGATGGCTGTAGAAGAGTGCATAGCATGGTTTGAGTGAAATGCTTGTCTCAATTAATGATGCGAACTCAGAGGTAGTTCCCTGCTTTTGGTCACATTTCCTAAGACTTGAAGTTTTTCTCTTAGCATTTTATGGCTCTTTTTTCAGATCAGGAAGTAGTTTTAAATAGTGGACTTATTTTTTAAAATGACAGCATATTTATTGCCTACCAGTGATAGTGACAAACTAGAATAGGCTTCACTTAGCATGAAAATGCATAAAGTCAGAAGTAGTAAAAAACTTACATGTTTTCAAAAAGGAACTTTTAACACAGATATTCTTCATTATATAGTAGTGGAATTATTTTGTATTTGCTTTCTACTCTCTGTAGTTTGTCAAGGCCTTGTTTAACAGACCAAGTATTTCACAACTCATAAGGTGGAACAGTCTTCAAGCTCTTCTGTGGACCACTTACTATAGATTTGTAAGATAGCTGAATTTCTGTAAGGTGCTTTGAGTTAGCCAAATGTCTTGGTAAATCTTGAACTAATTTTTGGAATAGAAATTGGAAACTTGGTTTTGGCCTGTCCCGACAGGTCTACTTGAAATACTGTAAGACAAATGTCTTATTTCATAGCATATCCTCCAGATGGTGTTACAGATTTGAGGATTTTAAAAGCATTTTTCTCTTGTATCTTAATTTGAGTAGATACACTTTTTCGTAACTAGTTTTGTAACTAGAACTACATTCAAGTGAGCAATAATACTGACTTATTTTTCAAAAATCTCCATCAATCATATATAAAACCACAACATAATGCCTCTCCCATATCTAGTACTCTGCTGCTGTTGCACAGCAGAGTGACATAACAGCTGAGAAGGAGAAACTTAAGCAACTCTTCTACTATAATACTACTCAATTTTTTTTTTCATATCTTCTTAGGAAAGTATTTTATCTTGGCCTTTTATTTTTTTGAGCAATGATAAGCAGAAGTGGAGTATCCTTTTGTATGTAAGAGCATTGATGAACACCAGTATTTTCCTGTGTCTCCTGAAAATGGAGGGAGAACTCTATAGATCTTTATTGACTCCTGAAGTTGCATTGACAATTTGATAATTTGTATACTCAGGTCATTGTCCCTCAATCCAAGTCACTTGTAATTGTAGCAAGAATTTGGATACTGATTTAACTGATGTTTTAGAATATCAATCATTACTTTACTACTTGGATTGCTTTTTACTAATAAAGCTGTAACTAAAAATAGAAAAGCTTTTTGTTTTTTTCTATAGTTGTTACCCCCCCACAAAAAATGTTCTGTTTCTCATACCCACCTAGTTTCTTGGCTAGACTGATACAAAAGTAGAATGAGTTTGGATTAGTAGAATRGTAAAGGAGGTATCTTTCAGAGTGAAGCTTGAAATAACTGTATCTTGAAGTGGGATTTCAGTAGCCTAAGAGCTTTTCTTAGGAAACCWGTCTAATAATTGCTTTGAAGCCWTAGTGGCTTAGTGTGTTACTTCTTCTAAACCCTACTGTAGTCGAACGTGCCTCCCAGTACTTTAGTGGTTGAGCAATGATCAATGGTTGGCAAATGCTCTAAGAAAGCATGTCAGTTTGTTTGTAAGGAAAACTCTTTTCAGAAAGTGTTACAATTGGACACCGTCCAACAGTTTGCTTTGTATCCCAAAGCATGAGGTTGAAACAATTGACAGTAACCTGGAGGTGTGTTCTGTAGTTCTTCCTGTATTAAGTACTACCTGTTGGAGTCATCTTGATGGTCAGTGTCCTTTGATCAAATTTTGTGAATAGTGAAAGGATGTTATTGGTAGATTCTAATCTTCTTGTAAGATAGACCAAGATGTTGATCTGCATGTGTTAGTGACTCSCARCYGYAGTGTGGCAAGGACTRTCTGCTGAATTTTAAGGGATCCCTTCATGTGTGCTGTAAAGTCTGTGCTAAACTTTGGATTTGCTATTTCCTTTTTAAGTCAGCAATAGTGTGGTGATTCCTAGGTTAAAGTTTCTGAGCAAGAATTTATCSAGAACGGTAAGTGGTATTACTTCGATGGTATTTACATGGAGTTTTGTCTGCTTACTATACATGTTTGATGAATCATTGGCACAAGAATTTGGGCTTCTAGGAATTAAATGCAAGTCAAAAGTGACTTCACATTTTCATGGTCTGGTTCTAGGAGAAGCCATTATAAGTGCTGTGAGAGATCCATAGCTGTATTTGACAAATAGTGTGGAGTTACATCTACAGAAACACTCTCCTAGTTAGTGTAATTTTTCCTGAAGCAACGTGCCAGAACATAAATTAAAAATCTGTCAGCATGTGGTGAACTGCTTCAAACAAGTGTCTGACTTGAATTTCGCTACTGTTTTGTATTCCTTAACTTCCACTTGGGAATAAAACATGTATCTTCTTCCACTCTTGTAGACAGCTTATTTTAAAGCATTTTTCATGGGTTGTAAGAATAATATATTTGGGAAGAAAGACTGATCATAAGTTTCTTGAAGTAGCTTGTGACTTCTCAGCAGAAAAATTGGGGGAATATATAACAAATCATTGTTTTAAGCCACCTAGTAATTTTGATGTTATGTAATGCACTAGTATATGATACCATCTGGAAAAAGCAAGCTTTGTGTGATGTGAAAGACTTCTGATCATATATTTTTGAGCCTCCTATAATCTWTTGAAGGGATTTGAGGGAGTATTGATCTTTGATAATCAGCTTGAATCCTTTCCAGTTCTTCTAGAGGAAAAAAAACCTACCAAGTCAAAACACAATAAAGGGACCATTACTATTATTACTTGAAGACTACTATGAGGTGTAACTTTCTGAAGGTGTCTTTATTGATAAGGTGCAAATCATCAGAATAAATAACTTGAGATAAAAAATTGTCTCTAAGGAGCAACTTTACCACACACAAACCTTATGAAGGAGTTCTTGCTGAACATTCCTTAGAGTGTGGCAGGAAACAGTGTTGTATTGGCCACATAGTGAAGCATTCTTYCCGTGGTAATGCTTCAGGCTTCTGATACAACCCAGAAAAATGTTTTGAARYGWAAGTTGAACCYCTGAACTAGAACAAAGAGCAGTCCGTGAGAACTCAGACAATGTGTTATGCCACAAGGTCACAGGGGAGTTAGGGGAAAGGGAATATCTGTCCCTTCGTTGAGTGGCTGGTTGCTGCTGCAAGACCTTTGCTTCTGAAGATTAGCTTTTCAGAGAATAAACAAGCCCTTTTGTAGAGTAGGACAGCAGGCAGTTGAAGGCTTGCCCTTGGGTAACTAATATGGGCTGATGAAAGCTGCTGCATTTCCTTTTTCATRAATTCTGAAGATTAAAACTCAAAAACTAGGTGATCGGTTTCCTGTCTTGTTGGTAGGAACGTGAACAAATATGTTTMAATTACACAGAATCATAGAATATGCTGAGTTGGAAAGGACCTATCAGGATCCTCRAGTCCAGCTCCTGGCCCTGAGCAGGACACCCAAAGAATCACACTGTGTACCTGAGAGAATKGTCCTGAGAGCAGKTCTTGAACTCTGCCAGGCTTGGTGCTGTGACCACATCCCTGGGGAGCCTGTTTCAGTGCCCAACCATCCKTGGGGTGGAGAACCTTTTTTCTAATATSCAACCTAAAYCTTCCGTGACACAACTTCAGGCCATTCTCTTGGTCCTGCCACTGGTCACCACAGAGACCCTGTCCCTCCTCTGYYCCTCCTCTTCCCCTCAYAARGAAGTTGTWACTGCAATGAGGTCTCCCCTCAGTCTCCTCCAGGCTSAACAGACCAAGTGACCTCAGCCATTCSTTATCTGGTTTCTGYAGTATAATAGCAARCACAATCTTTTGTTTCAACTATGTGAGTTCTAAATTTAATTTTCCATTCTAACTAATAAATCTTCACAGGAAGTTTAGAAACACTGTTGAAAAGGTCTGTCCTGGAATGATTTTGCTTGGGAAAAGCGAATCCAAAGCTGCCTTTTTTCCGTGCTTGTCCTGTAAAATTACTATGGTAACCAAGTTTTTCAACAGAGCGAATAGCAGAACTTTTACAGTTTGAAGTGTAGGTTGGAGTTTATTCTACGGCATGTTTATAATACTGCATGAAATACTTGAAGATCAGTTTAATTTACGATTCTCTAGCAGTTTCRTGGTAACAGATAACATAATTGAAGGTTGGATCTTGCATTTTTTTTCTGACCTAAATGATTCTGTTTAAATACAGTTATGCATACAGTTAGTAGATAGCCTCTTTAATCTATGTGTTTCTTCCTTCTTCCTTGGAAGAAACATGGATCACGGTACTATTATGTAATGAGAAAGGTATGCTGAATTCAGTGTAGTATAACYTGGAAGGGAGGAGGTTTCTGTGTTGTGGTGGCTTCTGTGGGCTGATTATTCTGTTCTTGGATTAATGATGCATGTAACTTGCCTAATTTTCTGGCCCACTGCAGTGTGTATTTAGGACTAGTCTAAAAAAATGGATTATAGGTTAGAGAGGCTTGATTCTGAAAGCATTCACAGCATTGAAGTATTACTGCTCTAGAATGTCTAGGAAAGCAGCTTTTTATAGTTTGAAGTTGCAAGGTGTTTTACAGCACTGAATGTTATGATCTTGGCACAGGTGAGAGCTCATGAACTGAGAACTTGTTTCTCTTCTTGCTTTTCCATACTAACTCAGCACTCTAAACAGTAGATGCCTTTAATACCTTGAAATAYTTTTCCAAAGAATGAATTCTGTTTAGATATAATTACTGATTCACTTTTAGATTCCAGGTGTTGATACTTTATTTGGCTTCTGTAGTAACTTCAGTAAAAATATTTAGGTAGATTTCTTTGTAGCATGTGGGCATTATAAGGAGTGCACGAGGCAAGATAGGAGGTCACAAACTTAAGTTGGGAATTWATATATTGATGGAAAGATGTTAATTATGTATGTATGGAAAGGTGTTAATTAGTCATCCAAAGTGAGGCAAGGATGAAAAATACCCGAAGATCATAGGACTTKTGTGGTCCTGAGTATTTTTACTTAYTCCTTCAAAGGTATGATTTTGTGCTGACAGAAGCAGTCTTGGTTGTGTAGCACTTCTAACAYTTTGAAGGCTTAATAGACTATTTCAGGATACTTTTCTTGTGGGGTGCAAGTACTGTAACATACTACTTCACAGGTTTTAGTTTTCTAATGGACTTCTGAAATGTTCATAGTGTAAGACAATTTAAAGTATTAAAAGATATTCCTAAATAATCATATTCTAAAGCATGTTTCTTATTAATACAGGGAGCTGAAGGTGTAAACTTGAAATTCTCTACCTGAAATTGCTCTTTTCTCTTCATACCACTGGCAGATCTGTCCCGTTGATTTTGATCAGCTCTCTTAATGTCTTCAAAACTTGACAGTTAGTATTTGTAAACACRTATGTGTTAAACCTTTCACTTTCTKATGATCACCTGTGCAGCAAATTCACATGACAGTGTTTTGGTKTAGTGACTACTCAGTTAAATAACTGTTTCAATCTCCAAATAGTTCTTCCTCTGAAATGGCAGTGTGAAGCGATGATACTGTATTGCTACAGCTTTTGTTTTGTCATTTGAAATWGTCAGTAATAACCATGGTAGAATCTGAAAATGATTCCAGTGATCAAAATAACTTTAAATTTGTTTCATTTTATATAGATTTTCTATGAACAACCTGTTATTTGGTATCTTAGCTTGCTTTTATTCACTATGCTTTAAGCTAGTGTTGGCACCTGAATACAGCTGATTAGTCTTTTGTTATTGCTGAATTGAAGATGGATCTGACATCCTTAGTCTGAAAGGGTTAACTTTATCAAGTCYTTTAGAGTTCACAAAACAGTAGTATTTCTATTCTGGGTAATGAATTTYACTAACTTTTCAGTGCTTGAAATTAAGAACTAGAATGACAGGAAATGAATGTTTTACTCTTTGCCTTTGAATTACTGTGCAGAAAATGAAGTGCCAATGCAAGTGTCTCTTCATTTAATTAAATTCTTCCTCCTAGCTCTGTACTCGATCATTCTGTTCTGTGTCTTCCTGTGGATTCCCTTTGTCTATTTCTATTATGAGGAGAAGGAAGAAGATGATGGCAACACGTGCTCGGTAAGTTTACTCYAGCATATGCACYRAGCAATGAAAAGGTATATGAATACMGCTCAAAAATGAAAGCAAGAATGATTGTTTAACTTAAWTACTACAATATTAATACMATTTCTAAGWCAATTAYTATAGTTCCTTRAAAATCCTGGAGCAGATCTTAGTATGACRTAGTATGACATTGTCTAGTCTAAGCACTGTGGTCTCACATGAAATTACACTTTAGTGTAATTACAAAAAAATAATGTTTGTATTTTCATGATTTTTTTAAACCTCTGGAAATTCTTTTGAGCAAGTTTTCATCCACAGGAAGTTAAAACTTCTTATGTGAGACTTTCCTTAGGCTAGAAAACATAGAGTGACAGCTTTTAAAGTAGTGAATAGGAAGAGGGTTTTGATTCTGAAATAGGTACTCAAATTTAGTGTCCATTGTAATGTTGACATTTTTTCTTAAAGTAGGCAGTAGTGATTCRCCTGAAGCTAACACTTGTTAACTTTTGTAATGTGCTGCCCTGTGAGACCTTCCAGGGAATATAGTAAATATGTGCCAGTTAAGTGCTACTTCTCAAATATAAATACTTTTAATCTTTTAATCATTGGTCATGATTATTTTCCCTTCTATTTATTTGTAATCTTAACATAAGAAGGCTTTTAATAATAGTCATAGTATAAACTATTAGTAATAAGTATTTTCTTTGAATGTATTTGCACTGAACMAATATATCCAGGCTTCCAGCCGCAGCTGTTCAAATGTATAGTTTATGATGGAAGCATAATTCCATGTCATTGTTCATAGTTCTCAGGCTATGAGGCTCTTCAAGAATGTGTACTTACGACATGTATAAAACTACTCATGCATTTTGTCGAGGTTTTTTATAGACTACCTGCTATGCTAAGTGTACTTTTGCATAGTTTGCACAAGTCCCTTTATATTTCTTTTATGTCAATGTATTTCTCTTTAATATACAGCAGGTTAAAACTGCACTCAAATACACTCTGGGATTCATCATGGTTTGTGCAGTTCTTCTCTTAATTGGGTAAGTATTTGTATTGAGCACTATTCTATGCAAGATTTATTTATCAGAGTTCTGTTCTTCTAAGAGGTAAATTATGATGCACTCAATCTGTATAATCAACATTAGCTTAATCACTAATAGAGCTTAAGTATCCTGAGGATTAGGTACCTGAAAAGTAGGAGTTTAACTAGAAGCTAAAATGGTTTTCCTAATTGTGGAGGTACTTGTGCTTCCAATATGACTGAATGTGCAGTGTGAATTGATATCAAGGACATKGTGGCTTTGACACTTCTACATTAATGCTTCAGTGTATGACAGGTTGTAAAAATTTATCCTAAGCCCTGTTCACCAAATAGATTTTTGTCTTTCTCATATGCTTTTTCTGAAATAGACATTGCAAAACAACTTTTTAGGAAAATGCTTAGATTTTACATGCTTACACTTTCATAATGGGAAATGTTGTCTGAAGGATATAAGTGTAGTGTGCAGTTATACCGGACATAATTGTGCCTTGTRTGATAAAGGTTTTGCTGGCATTTATTTGAAAGGTGAATGTTACTTGAGGTGAATTACTTGTTTTCAGCAAGTGCTGTTGTTCTGATACTCCAAATAGCAGTAGAAAATTGATTTCAGATCACCATCAAGCATGACATGCACACCAATACTGAATGTTTCTAATGTCTGCYGTGTCATAAGCTTTTTAGCATTTTGACTGCAGCAATAAAAGTGGTAAAAATTAAAAATGTAGGCTAAAATGATCTATATCCAAGTACTTCAGTGTGAAGTAGAAACTGGAGTGAAATTAATGCTTCCAATTTTATACCATTTTATTAGAATATTGGTTGAGTTTTGGTCATAGTTAAAGGTATATTTCTAACAAGTCTCTTGTCCTTTTAAGTGAAAKTAAGGTATTTGCTCTTATAAGAGATTGAAGGAGTTTGTTACCTTAATCATGGTCTAGAGATATTACTAAAATTTCTGGCAAAAATTGTTTATTACAATTAGCTCACATCACAGGTATAGATAGATGTAGAACTTTTGGTCGTGTCTCTAGGTGTCAGCTGAATCCTCAGCAGCTGTAAGCATGTTTGTTCCTCTCTCATAGTAAGGTACAGCTTGGTTCTTGACTTTCCTAATTGTTCTCTCTGCTGTTAGGCTTATTCTTTAAAGTCATTACGATTTGTAAATTACAGTGGCTTAGACCACTCYCTTTGATACTTTGCCATATGACAGTGAGACTGACCTGCAAACCACAGAGCTGTAGTTCTTGGCCACTTGCCCTTGGACTAAGTAACTGAACCGTGCTTCCCCAGAGGTACAGACTTGAAACCCATTCATAAATTCATAACCAGCAAGAGTTTCTGTTTTCCAGTTGGAACAATTTTACTGCCATTACATGTGAGGTTACTTGCACACTTTTAAGATGGTAATAATTAAATAGTAGCAACATCTTAATGCYCTCAGAATAAAGCATTCTTGCTGCCTAAGATGCTACAGGAAAAGGATAATCCTTTTAGTTCTTTTTTAAGTGAGACTGTTAGACTCCCTTCAAGGGGAAAGGGCTTGGTTTCATAGGCAACTGAGATGTCTTTGCTGAAGGAAAATTTGAACTCTATTCCCAGTATAGTTATATATGTATTAAGTAGCATGTGTCTCAGTGTTTATGTTTATGCTTTTTCTGGAGAAGTTATCAGTTAGTCAGCTGCTTTTATAGCAACAGCAGGGAGTGGCCATACAAGTCCCAGTGTGATGGGAATGAGATTAAAAATGTTGGAGCTGAAGCTTCTGTATGAGTTGTTTGACTGAATGTAGTAGTAAAGGCCAGTCTTGCAGTAGCACGGGATTCTCTCACTGGTGATTAGGATCAGAGCAACATTAGAATAGGCTGGAATTTTATATACTGGGTTTTACTCGAGCTGGCTAGGCTTAATGGACTAGAATATTCCTGCACAGAGGTTAAAAGAGTGAGAGGGGTTGGAATATTTTGTGCTAAGTGCCTAACAAATAGGTTTTCTTCCTGTGCTTACAAGACTAGTGTCTTGTAGCCAGACAGCCTATTSTGATTGGTTTAGCAAGCAATCTGCATAATTAAAACAGGTCAATAAATAACTTTAAAGGCCAGAGTAGAAAGATTTTGCCTCTTCCCTGGTCAGTAGTCCTCAAATCAATTGGAAAAACTGTGTTAAGCTCAAAGTTTGAGTGTCTTATTCTCACCAGGATGCTGACCTTGCTCCACTAAACAGCTTCATGACTATTTTGGGAAACAAATCTGTTTTGTGCCACATGGTCTTGGAGGTTTTTTCTAACTTGATAKCACCGCTCAGTGAGCAGGATGTTATTGTCTAAATTGTTATCAGGAGCAGTGTTTACTTGTCTGTTACAAAACAGTTGTCTGGCAGAAATGTGAATGTCTGTAACACTTAGATCCTCTGCATGCAAATAACTTGATGCAGAGTACCATTAAGAGCAAAGTATAGRGCGAATTTATAGTGGGATACTCAGAACTAATTTTTTCTTGTCATATCTTTCCCTTCTCATAAGTTACCTGCTTGTACTTTCTTTAAATGTCATATGCTTGTCAAGGGGCTTGAGACACTGCAATCTACATTAAGGCACCCTTATCTACATTGAGACACTGCAGTCTACATTAAGGCACCCTTATGCAGCTGTCTGGTATGAAACAAAAATGTTGGTTTTTGAAGCTTATGAATGTTTGGTTCCAAAATGAATGCTGCCGTGATTGTCAGTATTTAGAATTAACTGGTTACCTTAAATTATCTAGAACCATTAGCTCTTAAAAAGCCATGAATATGTCTAATTATCTTATAAATAGTTATGCAAATTTTATCTAAGCAGAACTCACTTAAGGACACAAGTATAAATCTAGTGTTTTGGAAAATAATTTTCAAAGGATGAGTAGAGGACACTCTTTGATTCAAGGATCAAACTTTACCCATCTATATCTGTGTGCTATTAGCCCTGCCAAGAGTGAATATTTTTTTAAACTGCTTGTCTTGCATTTACTTTCCTTGTTCTGCAGCCTAGATATTGATCTAGATTTTAATCATTATATACCCAGGATGTGTTTTTAACAGCATAGCAGTTTGCTTCTATTCTTAAAATTACCACAGTTAATAATTTGATTTGTGTCGAGAACTCCAGTATCAGAAATCACAGCTGAGCTGTTTTGTTTACTTGMATTACCTAAATTTTCAGCTACAGCTGCAAGCTCCTGCACTGTATTTGTACTCTATTCAGTCACTGTGTTGCATCAYAGGGATGACAGGTAAATGGAGGTGTTTGGCATGGAAACCTCTCATTCTGTTGATGACTGCTATGACCCYCAGGCTGAATGGACCATATAGTCAACATAGCAAAATAGCTAAGGCTTTTGGCAAATTTCTTCTTGCTTACTGAGCAAGCATAAACCTAAATTGCTRTGTTCTGTGCTGATACAATGGATAGTCTGTGTTTCAGAGATCCTTTGAGAGTTTTTGCGGCTGGGTGTAGGTCTGTAAATGGCTGGGCATACTGTCTCCTTATGGCCTCTTAAGCTACAGATGAAAAGTCTAAGTGGACTAGTAGCTGTCTGACTAGTTTGCTACTAGTTGAGGCACCCTGTTTAGGAGGGGGGATAAGATTTCTGCTTGCTTGGGACTCAAGTGTGTAAATTTGTAACTCCTGTGTGCCTTTCTGAGGACTTCGGAACTTGAGCAGGAGCAGAATTAGATACCTGTCTCCTTCAGTCAACATTTATCTGAGTAATAATTGAAGAGTCTAGTGTAYACAGTGGCTCCTTCTCTGATTAGTGTCCTTTGACGTGCTGGTTGTAGGTAGTCTCAGCAGAAAAAGAAAGAATGCCATTGCTCTCAGGTGAGAAAAAGCAAGGAAGTTATAAGTATCGTAAAATCTTCCATCTTGTTTGTTCCCTGCATGTGGTCCAGGAATAGCAAATCTGTAGTGGTGCTAAAATAAAAAGGACTTGAGCTCACTTATGTTCTTGTAGTGATCATTTTAACCATTTTTAGCAGATAAACTTGCAGTTATTTCTTTCTATCATTTGTTAGTAGAARTATCACCTAAGTTGTTTTTTAATACCTGTGTCTTCATTTTGCATGCCGTTTTACAGAAACAATTACTGCTACAGGCAGATACAAGAACTAAATCTAAAGTCAGCAAGCATGTGTTAATTTAGGCAAATGCTAGCCCTTAATCTTGCACAGTCAAGAAGCTTTTTATAGAAACTGAAAACTCGACTTTTAAAATGTCAACTTTTATTTTTGGCAGMGTATCAGTTTGGTTTTGGTGCAATGATTGTAAGTTCACACAGTTAGTTTAGTCCTAACCTTTGAAACATAAGCATATATTTTGAACTTAGTTTGAGACTGCTCCTGGAATATGCATATTTGTTTGGGACTTGAAGCAGGGATCTAAGTATGTAGTCTTTGTCATACAAGTCTGGATAGTCATTTGTGAGCATTCTTTATGAACTTCGGTTTGAGTTCTTTCATTCTTTGCCTAAAGCGTTTCCCTTTAAATCTGACTTCCTTGTGACTTGTAGACCTTCTATTTCATGTCTCAAAGCYATGGTTTCAGTGGCTTTTGAGTATGGAGGTTCTGTTTTTCCAGTTGTTACAAACCCAGTTGTTTTGTCTGTAGATGTACTGAAGAGTTACTCTTGCTAGTTGATATTAGGTGGTGAGACTGATACCAGGAAGCTTTCAGCTAACAGACTATTCTACCTGACATTGTTCTCTGTGTATTCCTTGTTGGTCTGCTTAGTGGAAGTACACAAATACTTAATGAGCTTCTCTACAGCTCAGTTCTCTGGCTCAACTAGAGAACAAAGAATGGAATGCAGGAGGTGTGTTGTTGTGGTTGTAATAATGGAAGATAAACATGTCACTTCAAATTTAATGCTTGTTATGGAAATCATTATTTTATTTTTGCATTCAGAAGTGCATGTTTATAGGATAATTTGTCTCAATGCTTAAAGTTTATATGAATCAAATCAGGATAGTAAGCCATATTAATACATATTTTAATAATAGAGTGTAGGGTTCTTATATCTTTTAGGACTACTAAATAGAAAATCACTTGTTCATTTCGCTCAGTCCTGACTCTACACTTGTTCATGTACTCTGCTGATCTAAATGCAACATTTGAGGACAATGTAAATAAAGTGAAACACTGTCTTTAGGAGTGAATGGATTTCTATTTTCTTAATTTGGAAGTAGAATTTTTTTTTATTTCTGAGTAATCAGGGTACCAAAGATGCTTTTTCACTTTTTSTTACAGTGCTTTTGTTCCTTTGGATATTCCCAACAAGAAGAATTCCACAGAGTGGGAAAAAGTGAAGCTCCTGTTTGAAGAATTTGGAAGTAGTCGTAAGTTTGAGATTTGTTYTGAGCTTTGCATGAGTTGCTACTAACTTTTGTCACTCATTTATTGACTGAACAAGATAATTAACTTCCTTGGTGACAGTTTTCTAACTTTCTCTGAGTGCTTACCTACAGTAAGTCTTGGGAATAAGAGTGTTCTTTCTGTTCAGAGAAAAAAAAATAGAGCTATCTTGAAAACAGAATGCACTGCCAGCATCTGCTCTCTGTACTTTAAATACAGTCCCCACTTGACAGCAAGGACTCCAGTGTTGTGTCCTCTGATATTGATGGTGAGGAGGGGAGAATACTTTTTTCCATAGTCTTCACCTAACACAGCTCTTAAATGCTACTTGGATRCTGAAGTTCACTCACTTTTAGGGTATGGTGAGTGTGTATTGTATTGTGTGACTGTCTTCAATCATTTACTTAATGAAATGCAGTACTGCTGTTCACTGTAAGAATGAGACAAGTGAGTGGTTTTGTCTATTCAGACAGGAAAATCCTGTGGGTGTTACAACTTCTTCCCTTTGCTCTCCTGATACTGACTTCTTCTACATTTGTTTGCATTTGTTATACTTTATGCTATGGCTGTAGAGAACTGTTGTGAAGGCCAGGCTCCATGAAATAGTACTTAACACTTAGCTGATGTAGTTCATGTGCTTAGCCGGAGTATGTTTTAGGATAAAAGTGTGAAGTGTTTTATAGGTGAGCTAAGACAGACTTAATTGACTAAAGTCACTTTTCAAATGTATTCAAAAAAGRGTAACTAAAAGTTGTCTTCATCCCAATACATAAACTCTATTATTTTGTGCCTTATTCTTGATATGCATCAGTGTGTTGGCTTCTGTGTGAATGTTTTGGGATATAATCATACAAGCCAGAACAATGCACGTTCTGCATTATTCTAGGAATTTTATACTGAGTGAAAAGTTCACTGCAATGACATACACCAAACACTGACAGAGTTGGCTAATCCCTTCAGGGCACATCAACTTTGTGTACAGTTTGCTTAAGCATTCTCTAACCTGGTCTTCTTCCACCAAGGGCACATATTCCTTGTAACTTTTCTCCTTGATCTCTCTGGCCTGGATTTCCTGAAGTCTGATCTTGCTAGTAAGAAACTAGCAATGTAAAGAAAGCATTCAGTACCTCAGACTTTTCATGGAAAAGTCCTGTCTCACCAGTCCCCTCTCCTGCTCAGCAACAGGCTGCTCTTTTGCCTCTTCTTCCTCTTTGCACTTAAATACTCAAAGCCCTTYTTGTTTGCTTTGACATCCTTGCAGAGTCGTTAATCATAATACACTCTGTGCTGTAATCTGTCCTGGTAAGCGTAGGAGATGGGGAGGACAAATCCATCTTAYTGAATGTTTTGGCTGTCTGCTTGTTGGTGTTTCTCTTGCTTTGCAAAGATTATAACAGCGTAGGAGAAATGCGTCTTAAACTGTTTTTCCAGGTAGTGATAGCAGTTGAGCAGAGCTAACGTAAGCTAATTTTTCCAGGCTACCTTGATATGACTGCAACAAAGTATTTGGCTCTGTACCTGTTTTTGTTATGTAGTGCAGTAGAGCCGAGGTTTGTTTGTAGGAAGGTAAATGATTAAGATGCTAGGATGGGATGTGAACATCTGGTTTTGTTTTCTGACTATCAGCATTTTCTTGTGACTTGTAATTTAATAAGGTAATTCAGACTGAAGAGACATCAGGTCAGCTAGTCAAATCTCCTGCACCAATAAGCAAGTTGTAAGRTCAGACTAGGTTGCTCAGGGCTTTATCAGCTAGTTTTTATCCCCTAATTTTTGAGACTCTTTTATCTCATTGTGAAAAAATCTTTCCTCTTACCTGTTGTGGGTGTATGTGCTGTCACCCATTGTCTCACACTGGACAGCTATACACCACTGAAGAGCCTGGGCTCCACAACTTTGCTAAGCAGACAGGCTCTATTGGGTGTCTCCAAACCTGTCTCTGCTCTGGGCCAAACAAGCCTGGATTCCTCAGTTTCTCTGCACAGTGCGTGCTCTAACTTCTGCCCAACTTAGTTCTCCTCTTAACTTGCTCAGATTTATCAGTCTTACCTCAAGCAGTGGCCTCAAAACCGGTTTCAGTGTTCCCTATATGGTCCCTTCATTTAATAGATGGGCATGCTGCTGTAGATACAGTCAGGGATGCCAGTGGACTTCTTTGCTGCAGGGCACACTACTGCCCTGTCTTCAGATTGCTATCTTCCAAGGCCTCCCCCTCCCTGTGTTTTTGTAGAGCTACTCCACAGACAKCAACTCTGCAAAAGGTTCTTTTGCATTCCAGATGCTGGAGTAATAGGGACAAAATGCTAGCCTGTTGTCTTTAYTTGTACCTGTTGTCCTGTTTTTATATTAATTTACCCTTTTCCTTTGTCTGTCTGCAGTGGCCCAAGAAATACAAAGATCTTGAGACATAGAGCAAACCTCCAACATCATCAGTTGGTAGTGGGATTATAAAAGGAATGCAAACTCATCCACTGAGGCAAAGCCTGATAATATACTTCTGGTATACAATTATCAATTTTTCAGCCAGTTAGTTTCTTAATGTTCCATTGAGCACAGTTCAGACTTTTAAATGGTTATTAAATGTTGGTTTCAAATACTTGTACAGGAGGACCATCAAACATTGTGTGTAAGTACATTGTGTGATGTTATGAATAGGGGTCATTTGTGTGGTTTTTTTCCACCCCTAAACTTCAGAAACAAGTCAAATTTTCATGGTTACTGAAGGGAAGATAGTGGTAGGTTTATTTTTGTGAAGTTTTTTTTGGTAAGTTTTAAATATAGCTGTGTTAATTGAAACATGCCAGCATATTGCWTTTAGTTCTGGAGAAGTTGTTTGGTATTTTCTTACAAAAATAGTGAAGGAGAGATTTGAGCTGTGAGTTTRAATTTGGTGTGCTATTCTATTAGTTTTTGGTGGTTTTGGAAGGAGGCCTATAGGGTTGGTCAGAAGAGGGGTGCAGCTTCTCATAGAGGTTAGTGTTGATTTTTCTCATCTGCTTGATGCTGTGTTTAGGAAATAAGAATGGRAACAGACTAGTTATTCAGTGTGAGTAGGAATGGAAGTTGCTGTRCTCTAAATTCTTCAGTTAACTGGAGGGGAGGACATGGGGGAGAGCAGTAAACTCTAGGTTTGGTTATGACTGAGCACAAATGTGAAATTCATTGCTGATGGTTAGTTTACTCTAAGCCTAGTTACTATTTAAGCTTCTCTGTTATTATTTAGCCAAAACCACTTGAGATGTCTTGCGTGGTGAAGTTAGGGACAGACCTGTTACGAAGAATTATACAGGAGGTTTTAGGAATTAAATACCTTTTTGTTTGGCCACTCTTGTCTTCTACTAACCCTTTTAATTACTGGAGTTAAAAGGCTACAGTAACTCTTTAATACCCTTAACCTTTTCCTGTTTGTTGGTCTGTATGTACATTGAGTGAAGCTGAGGCTTTTTTTGGTTGGTTTTAGAATCCATGCTGGCCTGATTCTGGATAATGCTTTTAGTAGGCAAAATCAGGTGATAGCAAACAAAACTAAGATGAACCCTCCAGAACACACATGAGAGTTGTGCAAGTTACCACAGCACCCTGGGGAGGCCAAATATAAGTCTTGAAAAGGCATTAGACACCAATGGGAGCAAGTTCATTAGTGGTTATTCAACCATTTGGGTGAAGGCAACTTCTGTGAGCTTGTAACAAAGACAAGAGTCTATCCTGGTTCCTGCAATTTGGGAGAAAGATCTGCTGTGGTCAAAAGCTCTTTTAGATAATTTTTTTTTTTGCCTGAGTTATGGCGGGTAACCACGTCTTAATCTTTTTATTCTTTTTCATGAACTTAAATCTCCTCTGGAAACTAAATTTAGGAAGAAGTGTTACTATGTATTTACTCTAAGTATTTTCAACAGGCTTTTTTTTTTTTTTTTTTTTTTTTTTTTTTTTTTTTTTTTTTTTTTTTTTTTTTTTTTTTTTTTTTTTTTTTGCAGATGGCTTGACTGCACTTTCATTTTCCATTAGTTCCTTGACTGTGATTGGAATGCTGGCAGCTATCACTTATACAGTAAGTTGTTACGCAACGTTTTTCAGACTTTTATTTTCATGATCCTTGCAGCTATCACTGGCTATACCTGTGTGGAAAATGGATGTCATCCTAAAAACGTGTCTTGAGTTCTATATTTTCATGGTTTGAATCACTCATTCTAAGATCTTAGAAGGAGATGAATAACTTTTTTGCTGCAAGCTTAAGGACCAATATTTTAGTACTGAGCACAGATCAAACAATTTGGATGTGTTTGTGCAAGGGGATATTGAACATTACTTACRACTTGTAACGCATTCACTGACTTCTCTTGGTCTTAAGCTTTTCTTTCTTCGCTCAGAATTAATTGTTGCTTTTTTTTTGATTCATTGAACTGTGGCATAACCTAGACTTGGTATGTAGCTAAAGTATTGCAATACTTTCTCTAACTTAGAGCGACTTGAAAAGGTTCATTCTGTAATCAATTGTAAACTGYATGATTAAGGTTAGATTAGTTCAGCTGCTTGACTTGCTTTTATGTACAGAGAAAATGAACTGTTTTAACTTACTAGCTATGCCAACATTTAATGTTTGTGTGGTCATTTGCTTTTCCTATCTGTTGTGTTTCTTCAGTCAATAATCAGTGATTTAGTAATGCTACATGTTTTAATTTGTTATCAAAGTGAAGTTTTGCAAAAAAAGCTTTAAAGCTTAAGATGAGTGACTGATAACAGACAAAGCTTTAGTGTTTTTCAGAAATTACTCTTTTTCTGATAGGTTTTAATCTTTAAGTTCATGTCCTTGCTAATACAAAGTTTACTTCTGCTGCAGTCTGCCTCTAACACRGAGTTGTTCCCATGTAGCTTTTTCAGTGAGTTCTAAGTGCCTTTGTAGCAACAGCTCATGCAGTAAATTATTTTGAAGCATTGCTGCCCAAGGAGGTGTTCTGTTTCAAGCAAACTCTAAATGTATATAACTCTCCTAAACCAAGGATTTGAGAAAGGGGGAAGGGGGTAAGGTACTTAGTAAATGCTACYTTTAAACTCTTAATTGAGTAACAAATGCAGCTAATGATTTTCTGTCTCCCGCTGGTGTAAGTTACCGCAGAATTGTGGAAGACAGTTCAGTACAACTTCTCTGATGTGTCAGAGCCCTGACAGCTCGGTGGCCATCAGGGTCTGAACAGTGGGTAGGAGAGAATAGGGTGGATCTGCCAGTGGRTATCTTAGATGAGCTGAATTGCTCTCAGCCCCATTGACTGAGTGCTTTAACCTGAACCAGATGATAAATTTTACTACTTTAATACTTTTCTTAAAGTGACGTGCGTCATTAAATTATTCTGGCTGTCTTGCTGACATCTGGATCATGTGATAGTCAAAAAAGATCTAGACCTTCACTTAGCCTGTGAGATTTTAATTTGTTTCCCTTAATTATGGAAGGAAAGATTAATTTTCTGTTCAATTACATGACATTCCTGAGGAGCAAATACAATGTTATTTTACCTCCGTGAGACTTAACATTAAAAACAAACTTATTAACTGTGAGAATATCATCAGTGTTTTGGTCAAACAACCAAGCATGGTTTTTATAACTGTTGGCAAACATCTAAAATTTGAGATTGTGAAAATAAGACAACTTTATTGCTGACTGAAATGTAAACAATTTACAAACAAAATCCTATCAGATGTGAACTTTGTGATATGGTTTAGTGGACATGGTGGTATTCAGTCAAAAGTTGGACTTGACGATCTTGGAGGTCTTTTCCAACCTTAATGATTATATGAGTCTTGGAATATTTTTTCAATTCATGGCTAATATTTCTTTTTTCCAGTGTTGTTTCCTATTTGTTTTTGAAGCCAGATGGGTTGTAGGCACCATTCAGCTAAATATAATAATAYGCTTCTGTCCTTAACATTGGCTGAACCTGGAAATACATGGTGTCCCTCAGTGTTCAATAATTTTAGTGTTCTGTCTGTTTTCTCAGATGAACACAGTACCTCAATCTTCAATACTGTTGCTTTAGTGTCCATGTATGAATGAGGTGAATGGCCATGAGGTGAATGTCCATGTAAATGAAGTGAAACTTCAGGCTTGAGAACTAACTCTTGTCAGAATGCCTTAATTACCAAGATTTTTGGGCTTATTTGTAGCTCTGAAAACTTTGRGCTGTCCATGCAAAAATGCCTGGAGTGTGAAATTGATTTCCTTTATTTTTAACTGCTGTATTCATCCTTCTGGAACTATCTGTTCTGTTCAGTAAGTGTTAAGGGAGAGTGGGAGAAATGGAGGAGCTGTTTTGCAGAAGTTTTGGAGATGAGGTCTCAGAGGAGTGGGTTGTTCTACCTCTGATGTGAGTTTTTTGTCATTGTTTGCAGGCAGTTGTAGAATCTTATGCTGAAACACTGAGCTGGCTTGTATGTTTGGTTGAACTGAGGTACAAATGTGTCATTGACAGTGAAAATCAACAACTAGAAGGTCTGTTCTCAAAGTTGGAGCAGGGATTTTTTGATGCTCTAGTGCTTTTATAATACCTTTCCYACTATCAGTGATGGGCAGATTTCCRTATTTAAGCTCTTTTCACCTGTAACAGCATAAGCAATGCTGTTCTCATGGTCTGAAGAGTAAWTTGAGTGTGCCCTTGACCGCATGTGGATGCTGTGTACCTGCAATCCAGTTTATATTGTGGGCTGGACTTGTCCCACTGTTATGAGGTAATACAAAAACTGCTTCAGTAATGAAAAGTTCTTGGGGTGTTGTACTTCCCTAAACCTCAGGGTGAGGTTGGCTTGGTGTATAGTTAGTCTTTACCGGTTTGGATTACTCCACTCACTTTACTTTGTAGGAGAAAAGCATGATTCTGGGAAGAGTAACTGTTTCCTCTAGGTAGTTTCCCATGTCTTTGTGCTGTGGGTTTTTTTTTTGCTGGTGTTAGCCTTGTATATAAAAAAAAAACAAACAAAACCTCTAGATGAGACAAAAACATGAGTGCACAGGCAAGTCTGAGGCATTGTCTCTAATGCTTGTTGCTGACTTTGGACATCTCCCAAGTTAGTAGTTCGGCTCCTGTGTTTTTCAGGTAGCCTGAGTAAAAGCTGCCTATCAAATTGTTTATGCCAGTTCCTGAAGGTGGGAGATCTTTGTGCTTAGTCATCAAACCACTCTGATCATCAGTGTTATTTATTTTTTCTAATCACAGAAAGGGAATACTGTTTATATAAGAGTGAGCACAAGAACAAAGACATCTATTTTAAAAATTTCCACAAATCCTTAGTAGATGATGGGGAAAAAAAAACAGATGGGGACATCATGTGGACTATTTGAATTCCTGTGTCTCTGGACAGAGGTGATCTGTGGCTTATACCATTGAAAAGTTGAGGATTTGTAGTACAGATACATCTGAAATTTTTTTTATGTTACCAGACTTCTGCATATCCTCAGCCTATTTCAGTGATAGAGTTGCTATTGAACTGTTAAAAGGAAACTGCAAACTGGTGTATCTGGTTTTCGATATAATCACTCACAATCAAGAAAAAAGTCTATTCTAAATTAATATCTAATAAATGTTGTATTTTAATAAGTGATATGTTAGCAAATCCTTTCATACCTAATTAAAAAAGGCTTTACATTGAATGCCTRCTATAACACGAAATACTAAAACTAAATAGGAATGTTGTGCCTGCAGTGACTGCAGTTGACTGATTTAATCTTACTATTTTATTTATGGAAGAAACCATGAAAGAGATGAATCAAGTGATTTTATTAAAGTCCCTGGCAGTGCAATTTATCCATTCTACAATTAGTTGAAYGTATGTTAACAGTGCTGCTTTGTGTGGCCTTCAGCATGAAGAATTAGATTATGGCTGCTCTAAAATTGAATTTCAGTGTTGTGGTAATACACAATACTGTGAAAAGTTGAGGGGGGAAAGGCTTTGGCACTGTCAGCAGGTAGCCTTGAATTTGGGTAGAAATTGAGAGTGAAAGCTCACTTATGCATGTGTGTGCTCCTAGGCTTTTTTTATGAAAGCATATCCTCCTGCTTCCACAGGAGGAGGGATGCAGCAGGGTGGTGTTATTTAGATTGTAAATGGCTGCAGTTTAAATTATGGAACTAACAAATTTACTGAAGGACCAATCTAGTTTAAACCTATTTTTTAAAGATCAGTGCAGTGTTAGGGGCCTCTCAAGGGCCTGATTGATTTAATATATTACTCTGAAGTACATGATGAGTTGTTAACAYGATGAAGAATGGAGTTCTTATCAGACCACATTGTATTGTAGCATTTGATATGTTGTAGTTGGGGGGTGAAGGTGACAGTTGAGGGACAACACAAATTGAAGCATCATGCTGGATCGGAGCTGTGAATAACTGAGCACTTGTGTTACTGACTGTGATAGAARGGTAGGTAACACCACAGTTCATTGGGATTGTCATTATATGAGATTGCTGGGTTCCATTTTCTATAGCTTCAAACACCAAAATCATTGTAAATTTGATCTAGTGATGCATACAGAGAAGARCTTTTCTTGCCATTTGAGGGAAAAACAGTTTTGCTTTTGAGTTCTGGGCTTTTCTTCAGCATCTGAATGGGGTAAGATGAAATACACTGTTGGAATTGATGTTGCCAAAGAAATTAATCTTTTTGGTATGACAAGTTCCTGATAGCCTAATTTCTGTAAAATACTGGTTAAAAGCTTTGGGAGTTGTTCGTAATATGTATTGATCCTGGGATCATCTCATCCCTTAAGGTATGTCACTGAGGAGGGTACTTGTAGGGAAATAACTAGCTCAGGGAGTTAGTGCAAAAGTTGCTTTTTCAAGAAGAGGTCAGGAAGAAAACTGAGAACTACTTTCATTGATAACTTAATACAGGAKATTGTGTATTTTTTTTTTTTTTGRTACCTACKAGAAAGAAAATATTTTAAATATTAGATTTTAATTCAAGTTTCATGCTTGCTGTGAAATAYCTTCAGGAGTCAAGAGCTAATTTGAATAAAGGAGCAAATCAAATAATTTGTCATATTTCTTGGCACCATGTCATTCA